TTCTGTTTATTGGGCATAACCGTCCTCTGCTGCCATTTTGATAAGTAAGTTTTCCAAGGATCTTGCCCAATAATCACAGACACGATAGGCTTTGAGTTCAATGTATTTATTTACTCCATATCTTTCTATTCAGGTACTCATTTGGAACTGGTCCTGGACTTCTGCGCACAGCCTTATATATGGAGGAGGTGGAGTCAAGCTTAAGGAGGGATTATGGGAAGGGCTAAGTGAGGGAGGAGGGATCAGTGGGTCAGTCTATGCAATGGTGTATACACAGTTAGGCATTTACTCGTAACACTGCTCCATCTGGGAGTGCGGGAAGATCCCTTGGAAGGCAGGGCGGAGGATTTTGGACAATACCTGTATGACAAAATCCCTCAGATCCGGGGGGATTTGGACTCTGACTGGGTAGATCAGGGCAGGGTGACAAGGAATAGTCTTGAGAATGTTACCTGGGAGGAGTTTGATGCTGTGACTCCCGATGATGTGGACAGGATTTTGGGGAGACTTAGTGCGGCCACATGTTTATTGGACCCGTGTCCCTCCTGGTTGGTACTGGCTTCCCGGGAGGTTACACAAGGCTGGCTCCAGGGTGTTATCAATGCTTCGTTGAGTGAGGGTCACTTCCCCGCTGCCTTGAAAGAGGCGGTGGTGAGGCCTCTCCTCAAGAAGCCGTCCCTGGATCCGGCAATATTGGCCAACTACTGTCCTGTCTCCAACCTTCGCTTCATGGTGAAGGTTGTTGAGAGTGTGGTCGTGCGACAGTTCCCACAATTCCTGGAGGAAACATCTTATCTAGATCCGTTTCAGTCGGGTTTCAGGTCTGGGCACAGCACGGAAAGGGCATTGGTCGCGTTGGTTGATGATCTCTGGAGGGCTCGGGACAGGGGTTGCTCCTCTGTTCTGGTCCTGTTAGATCTCTCAGCGGCTTTTGATACCATCGACCATGGTATCATGCTGCACCGGCTGGAAGAGTTGGGGGTGGGAGGCACTGTGTTGCGGTGGTTCTCCTCCTTTCTCTCCGACCGGTCGCAGTTTGTGTTGGCAGGGGGGCAGAGGTCGACCTCGAGGCCTCTAATCTGTGGAGTGCCGCAGGGATTGGTCCTCTCGCCCCTTCTGTTCAACATTTATGTGAAGCCGCTGGGCGAGATCATCCGTGGCTTCGGGGTGAGATACCACCAGTACGCTGATGACACCCAGCTGTACATCTCCACCCCAGGCCACCCCAATGATGCCCTTGAAGTGATGTCCCAGTGCCTGGAGGCTGTGCGGATCTGGATGGGGAGGAACAGGCTCAAGCTCAACCCTTCCAAGACTGAGTGGCTGTGGTTCCCGGCATCCCGATATAGTCAGTTGACTCCATCACTGACTATTGGGGGTGAGTCTTTGGCCCCCACAGAAAGGGCTCGCAATCTGGGAGTCCTCCTGGATATGCAGCTGTCCTTGGAGGAACATCTGACGGCTGTAACCAGGGGGACCTTTTGTCAGGTTCACCTGATTCTCCAGTTCTCTCCTTTCTTGATCGGGGTTCCCTGTGCACAGTCACTCATGCCCTCGTGACCTCTCGCCTTGACTACTGCAACGCTCTCTACATGGGGCTCCCCTTGAAGAACACCCGGAGGCTCCAACTGGTCCAGAACGCAGCAGCGCGGGTAGTGACGGGAGCAGCATGGCGCTCCCATGTAACACCACTCCTGCGCGAGCTGCACTGGCTCCCAGTGGTCTTCCGGGTGCGCTTCAAGGTGTTGGTCATCACCTTTAAAGCGCTCCATGGCATCAGGCCTAGCTATCTTCGAGACCGCCTGCTGCTACCGATGACCTCCCAGCGACCCGTGCGCTCCCACAGAGAGGGCCTCCTCAGGGTGCCATCAGCCAATCAATGTAGGCTGGTGACCCCCAGGGGGAGGGCCTTCTCTGTGGGGGCACCTACCCTCTGGAATCAGTTGCCCCCAGAGATAAGGAGAATCCAAGACCTCAGTGCCTTCCGCCATGCCCTTAAAACCCACTTTTTCCAGCAAGCCGGGCTGGCTTAAGAAGAAATTTTTAAATGTTTTAAATTGGTTTGTGATTTTTAATTTTTGGGCCAAATTTATATATATTTTTAATTGTTTTTTAATATTTATATTTCATGTTTTTAACTCTGGCTGTACATCGCCCTGAGTCCTTAGGGAGAAGGGCAGTATATAAATTGGAAATAAAATAAATTGGAAAAAAAAAAAAAAACAACTCTCCCTAGTCAGCATGGAGAATTCTGGGAGCTGAAGTCCAGAGGTCTTACAGTTGCTGTGATGGAGGAACTCTACAGTAATGCATTCAAAACCTTCTGGATGGTTCTAGGGAAGGAAGGTTGCATGAAATTAAAAGCAGTTAAAATTTCTTACTTTTCCCCTCTGTCAATAAAAATCACTTTTCAACCAGCTTCACGTTGTACATATATGTCTCTGCATGCATTTGTACATTTGTTTGTGTGTGTGTGTCCAGCCTGTGATCTTCTATTCCTGGTGAGATGCTGATTTTACTTTAATACGTTTAACCCAAAATAAATAAATAAACGCATCTATTTTAAAATTATTTTTGTATTTGTTTCTTAGCCAGCTCAGCTGCTTTTAAGGGATGCAGGGAGTGCCTCTAAAACGTTTGGCTTAACTCTCTGGCGGGGGGGGGGCAGGTGCTGTGAGTGCAACCACAGTGGGTTAGTGGGCTGGGGTCACCTTGGTGTATTGTGAGAATCCCTCTCGGGTGGTGGTCAGTTCCTCCTCCTCAGGGATTCAGGGAGACCCTGGGCGTTAAGCCCCCCTTCTTTGCCTCCCAGAAGCCTTACAGCCCCTCCTCCCAAGGCTCACCTGTCTGGCCCCCCTCCTTCTGCTCTTCCTCCTGGGTGCCAGGGATCTGGGGGGGGCAGTGCCTTCCCCCCTGTTGCCCCCATCATAGGTGATGAAGAGGATGCTCCAAGCACAGAAGCCCCCCCGGGAGGGTCACAACACATTAGTGTTGTGGCAGTTTGGGGCTTGAACGGCTCCTGTTTCCCCTGGGGTGGGGATCTTCTCCAAGCTTTGCTGGTGCAGTACTGGTTTCGGGTCATTTCTGCCTCCTCTGACATTAGGTACCACTTGTGTAGGAGGTTGGGGGCCCCACGGGCCAGGCATGCAGTGTACAGATCATCATTGAGCCCATCTTTAAACCGCCACACCGATATATCTTCTGGCCAGTCTACTCACCGGGCTAGAATTCCTCAGTGTATTTGGGTACGGGTTGACAGCCTTGCTTTATGACTCTAATGTAGTCTCAGGCTTTGTGATCGATGAGGAGGTCTTCAAAGCAGTGACTCAGGGCTGTCATGAATTGATCAAAGTTTCACAGCTCTGGAGTGTTAGCGTTGTGGAGGGTTAGCATCCACCTGGCAGCTGCCCCTTCCAGGGCTAGGGTGATGACTCGCACTTGCACTCCCTGGGTTGGGAAATTCTGCCTGTACTCTTGCATATAGGTGAGGAAAGCCTATAGGTGAGGTGAGCCAGGAAAAAGCCCAACTTCAGGGGGTCTCCATCGAATTTCACCCCAAGGGAAGGGGTTTTCCTCTCCAGCTGCGGTCCCCTGGGTTGGCTGGGGACAATCGCCTGGGCTGGAATGGCAGGGGGTTGGATCCTGGGCATGGCTGCTGCTCTCCCCGCTTGGTTGGGTGCTTGGTCCGCTGCGGCTGGATCAGGGGTGACTGCTAAGCTCCTTCGGTGGCTTGTGGCTCACCCACTCTCCTCCATTGGCACCCCAGCTCACCTCGAACGTTGAGATTTTCCAGGGCTTCTATCATGAGATTATTATTATTATTATTATTATTATTATTATTATTATTATTGATTGATTGATTAAATTTGTATACCGCCCTACTCCCAAAGGACTCAGGGCAGCGAACAGCCAAATGATAATATATATATAATACAAATGTTAAAAAACCATTAAAATACAATTAAATAATTTGGCCCAGAAAAACAAAATTTAAAACACCCCAAATTTATAAGACAAATTTAAAATTTAAAAATTTAAAAACAGTTTAAAAAGAGGTTAGGCCAGGCCGGCCTGCTGAAATAGGAATGTTTTGAGGGCATGGCGGAAAGTGCACAGGTCTGTAATCCTCTGTATCTCCGGGGGGAGCTCGTTCCAGATGGCAGGTGCTCCCACAGAGAAGGCTGCCTGGGACCGCCAGTCGACACTGTTTGAGTGACGGCACCCTATGAAGCCTCTCTCTATGGGAGCGTACTGGTCGGTGCGAGGCTACTGGTGGCAGAAGGCGGTCTCGTAGATACTTTGATGTGCCACGGATGATCCCGGACTTACGAACTTTTCGCCGGGCCCTAAAGACTTTCTTATTTCATCAAGCCGGGCTGGCCTAATTTTTAATTTTTTTAAATTGTTTAATTTTAATCTGAATTTTAATGGGGTATTTAAACTGTTGGGCCAAATTATTTAATTTATTTTAAATTGCTTTTAAATTTTGTATTTTGTGTTTTTACCTTTGGCTGCTCACCACTGAGTCCTTTGGGAGAAGGGCGGTATATAAATTTAAATAAATAAATAAATAAATAAATAAATAAATAAATAAATAAATAAATAGGTCATTTCCCAGCGGTTCCTCCTGATCGGACAGGGCTGCCAGTTCCATTTTCCACCCAGGCTTGCGGCTACTGCGGGTGGGGATCACCTCCCTGGTTCTTCCATCCCAGATGTCCCTTTTTCCTATGCCGATTGGCTTTGTGGAGCGTTTGATGTCCTTGATGGGACATATGCAGCCGGTGTCAGGCTGGTAGTTGTCAAAGTTTCTCCCCAGCACTCAGCTTCCCCTTGCTTGCTGCTCTGTTTGGACATTGTTGCAGGGGCCCCTCGGTAGAGTAGAAATGAAAAAGAAAAAAAAAATCCTCTCCGGGTTGACCACTTTTGCAGAGCCTGCTTTATGTAGGGCCCAGCCTCGCCCCCTTATCCAAGAAAGTGAAGACTCTTGAAACTTTGTATTTCAAAAGGAACCTTTTATTGAAAAGGGGTGAAAGCAGGACAGACTCAGAGCATGCAACTAGGATAAAGGAAAGTAGGAACCCCTCCCAACAGTCCCGTGTGGATTCCGCCAATCCGCAGGTGTTAACATGTTATTGTACTGGCCTCTCTGAGAAAGAGATAGGAAAAGTTTCTTAGGGCCGGAGTTGCAATCCACATGGCCCTCCTTCCCCTTGCATTCCCCAAGAGGTGAGAATTTTACAGGCATCTAAGGCGCCAGGCAATGCTTATAAATCAGATGAAAAGTTGTACAAAGACAAGGCAAGAAATAGGATATCATGGGTACATACCAAGGAAAGAGAAACTAAATGTATCATAATCCAAACTCCCCCTACCCTTCCCCCGAAGAATGGCAGATAGACAGATCTGTCAGTTTCCTTGATTTTTTTTCTTGTTTTTTTTCTCCACGTTAAATTTCATGCTGTTGGATAGGGCCCGTTGTTCAAGTCTGTCAAGATCTCTTTGGATCCTGAACTTGTCTTCTGGGGTGTTGGCTATTCCTGCCAGGTTAGTGCCATCTGCAAATCTGATGAGTTCCCCTTCTATTACCTCATCTAAGTCATTTATGAGGGTTCCACCCTCTGGAACCAACTGCCCCCAGAGATAAGGAGAATCCAAGACCTCGGTGCCTTCCGCCGTGCCCTTAAAACCCTCTTTTTTCAGCAAGCCGGGCTGGCTTAACTTTTTTTTTTCTTAATTTTTTAAATGTTTTAAATGGGTTTGTTATTGTTCTTAAATTACGGGGCCAAATTTATATATATTCTTTTAATACTATTTTAATGTTTGTAATTTATGTTTTTATTCGCTGTACACCGCCCTGAGTCCTCAGGGAGAAGGGCGGTATATAAATTGGATATAAAATAAATAAATAAAAATAAAATAAATTGGGCCTAAGATGGAGCCTTGTGTTACCCCACTACTTACTTCCCTCCATGTAGATGTAGTACCATTAAGGACTACTCATTGAGTGTGGTTTGTCAGCCAATTAGAGACCCATCTGGTGCTGGGATAAATGTGGTTTATCCCACATTTTCCTAGTTTACCAAGAAGTACTGTAGGTTGTGGTCTTCTTTGTTGAATGCCTTGCTCAGCCATGGAAGCTTCCTCCGCCTCCCTCACAGGGACTTGGTGGGGGAAAGAGCAGGAAACACTGTATGGGAAAGAGCAGAAGACTTGAGCTCCTAGATATTAACCAACCAAACAAAGCAACTGAACATGGGTTTCTTTGGGGCCCAGACAAGGCAGCAGCAAAAGCAGCTTGTGGGGATGCAGGAGAGGCAATGGGAAGGCCACAGGGAAACCACATGCGTTGTGCCCCTCACACTAGGCAGACTGAGAATAGAACTTGTTGGGTAGACCACAGAAGCTCCCTTGTTCCAAAGATTTGTCTCGAAAGCCAAGAGGAAGTCCATGGAAGTGAAGTCCTGGAGGGAGATTCATTTCTGGAGTCCATCAGTTTCGGCCAATGTGGGGCTGGGACAGCTGCGGGCTCTGACCTTGGGAGGTGGGGATGGGCTCCTCGGGCAGGAATCGGACCGGAAGCCTCTCTCCTCCAACTGCTGGGAAGGAAACCAAGGAGACCGTTGAGCTTTAGGAGACAGAAGGAAGAAAAGGCAGAGGTCCAAGGGGCTGCCAGATGGAAGAGGACAGATGGTGCAAAAGGAGGAGGGGGAGATTGGCCACAGCAATCATTTATTTATTTTGAATCCATGTCTTCCTACTACTGTGAAGGAGGTGGGCTCAAAGTGGAACTCTGGGTTGAACCTAAGGATTGACTGAGATGGCTGAGGTGACAGAGGCTTTGTGTTGTGGGGATACTTGGGATCAGCCTGAGCATGTAGATCCTGAGAAAAAGAGAAGATGCTCTGGGCTCTTAACTGAGCCATCTGTGAATTCAAGCCCAGACTTACTGGTTGGCCAGAGTGATCAGGGAGGGACTCGGGGGCTGGTAAATGGTAAATACTCTCCAACCTTCCCTTTCGGAGATGCCGAGATGGTGGTTGGGCAGAGACCTGGACAAAACAGAACATCAGGATCTCTAAGTCAAGAGTCAGAACTGGGTGTGGGACTGAAACCACACCAGTCACGCACCGATGACCTTCGGTGAGGCCAGGATGGATGGAGGGCAACCATCCTGCTTCTACTGGATCACTTGGCATTTTCAATTCTAAGGCTACTCTCCTGGACTGACCAGGAGGCATCATGAGATCACTTTTGTCCATATCAACAGACTTATATTGCGAAATCCTGTTCTCTGGGCTTCAAACCTTCTGCCAGGAACTGAAGCCATGGATCTCTGCACTTAGCTCAGATGATTAGATAGGAACCATCAGCTTTAAGAGCTGTCCGTGTCCTGGTGGCCAATGGCTCTGCAGCAAGAGACAGACGTCTTGGAGGATTTCTCCAAGGGGGTGGGATGGATATCAAGCAAACCCTGATACTTTGGGGTAGGAGATGGCATCTGGCAGAACAACCTGGCATTCAGCAGCTGGGGGGACCAGGGGAGCTGAGGCTCTGATGACCAGGCCTTGCAAGTGAGCACAAGGGGCAGGATTGTGGCATGGATACTAAACCTGAAACCCTCAACCCTGGATTCTAGGTTGCCATAATTGAAATGACCACTGGGTGGCAGCAAAGGGAGTCTGATAATTCCAATACCTACTCTGGTCTGTTTCTAGGTCTGGCAATGCACTGCAAGGCAAGCAAGGCAAGTCAATGCCAAGGCCACATATTCAGCAGCTCTGGTATGTCTATTCTCTATTCTTTTTTAGTGCAAAGACAACTCCACCCAGTTCCCCTGGATAACCCATTGTCCCTCAGTGAGCTGGAAAAGAACAGAAGAGTTCATCTTCTTAGAAATCATCCTTAGGAGGGTACCTTTCCTGGATTTCACCACCAAAATGAGCCCCAAACAGCCAAGAAGGAGAAGACTTCCCACTTTGCTAAGGCACAGCAGGGTCAAGAGAGGCAGCCTGTAGAAGTTCTTGGTCTGACCTGTGAAAAAGAGCCACAGAGCCTGTTAATCCTTTCAGAAGGTCTCAGAGTATGGACAGTTCATGGATCTCTTGCAGCAGAAAAGCCACCAGCCCTACGTGGGAGCTGATTCCTTCTCTTGGGGCTCAAAAGGAAGATCTGCCCCACTAGAGAGACCTAAAGCTCCCACCAAGCCTCAGGCAGACCAGGCCACCTGAAAAATATATATGGAGGACACTTGAGTGTCATTCAAAATACCCCTGTCAGCTGTCCAGCTAGAGGGGATAGGGAGGGAGAAATAGAGATAGCTGGGGTTTTGTAGTCAAAATAAAATAGTTTCCTGTGGGAACCAAGGACATTCCAACAGATGCCTGAGAGAAAGGAGGAGCAGAGTAACTAAGTAACCAGCCAGCACCCCTATTGGACAATGTGACTGATAACTCCAAAGCTTCTTGGGATTTGTGAACTTTTACAGACAGTTCATCCCCTATTTTGCTAAGATCACCCTCCCTATTACGGAGTTTTTTTTTAAAATTTGATTTATATGCCGCCCTTCTCTGGAGACTCAGGGTGGCTTACAATGTGTTAAGCAATAGCCTTCATACTTTTGTATATTTATACAAAGTCAGCTTATTGCCCCCACAAACTGGGTCCTCATTTAACCTACCTTAGAAAGGATGGAAGGCTGAATCAACCTTGAGCCTGGCGAGATTCGATCTTACTTTAATTGCAGACAGCTGGTGTTAAATTACAGAGCTCTGTCTGTTGAGCTATCCAGGCTCCTATTCCAACCTGGAATCCAGGTTGGAATAGAAGACCTCTAGGATCCCTTCCAACTCTGTTATTCTCTATTCTAAATATTCGAACCTGCAGTAATTGCAGGCAGCTGTGTTAATAACAGGGTGCTTTAAACCACTGTACTACCAAGGCTCTGTTGCTAAAAACCAGAGGTGGGGGGAGTAAAACCATGACCAAGTCAACCTCTAAAGTGGACCCTAGAGTGCCAAAGGGCTTTTGAAACACCTGAACCCAGAGCAGCCCTTCTCTCGGCTTGTCGTTCGTTCAGAACTGCGATAGGAAATAATCACCAGTAACGCACAGAGAATCAGGGTTTACTTTGGCAATGATAAGCTTGCAGTCAAAAGTAAAGTACAAGTCGGTGTTTTGGTTCAAAGTCAGCGCTGGGTGTAATCACACCACAGCGCTATTTAACAAAAACTCAGCCCCTTAAACATACATCCGGTGATTATCAATCAAGCACCCCCCCACTCCCTTAACAGTAACAGCTGCGAGCACCAGAGCAGTGAGGAAAGCAGAATCGGAGAGGCCCGGCAATGTCATCAATCATCACCCTGAATGCTGCTATCCAGGAACTGTTTGTGTGTTCGCTGCGGCTGCTTATCTCCACTCCTTCATCTCCCACACCCCCCATCGATGGCGAGCTCTGGTAGGACTCGACAGGCGGCCCCCCCCTACCAGGAGCTCACCTATAAATAGAAAGCATACAAATGTTAGTCACTATTACAATCCTGCATTAGGTTTGTCTGGGTATTTCCGATGGAACTGTTGTATCAATCGGGCAGCGTGAACATCGGGTGCTGCCACCCACGAGGCCTGTGTTACAGGGTATCCTTTCCACCGCACAAGATATTGTAACATCCCCCTACGAACCCTGGAATCCAATATTCGGTCTATCTGATATTGGTTGGTATGCACGGGACCCGGTGGAGTAGTCAAGGTACCTGGCCTTTCTATCGTCACCGGTTTCACCAAACTGCTATGGAATACGGGATGTATCCTACTGAACAGAGGGGGAAGTTTAAGAGCTACGGTTACGGGATTGATGACTTGTGTTATGGGAAATGGTCCTATATATTTAGGTCCTAATTTTTTACTGGGCAGTCAGAGTTTAAGGTATTTCGTAGATAAGTATACTTTGTCTCCTATCCGGAATGGTTTTGGATCAGCTCTTTTCTTGTCTGCATATTTCTTGTACTCGTCTGCTGCCTTTTGTAATGCTGTTTTTACACTTGGCCATACATGACTAATTTTATCGGCCCAACCGCGTGGCGTGTCACCGTCTGTCATAGGGGGATCTAACTCTGGAATGGCTGAAAACTCTCGGCCATATATTACTTGGAAAGGGGAGAACCCAGTACTGCGGTGGGGTATGTTGTTATATGCCACTTCGGCGAGAGGCAGGAGTCCTGACAGCAGTCCTTCGTCTGCTGGTACGAAGCGTAGCATCTGATATATCTTTCAACCATGGCATTGGCCCGTTCAGCCGCCCCGTTAGTGCTCGGGTGGAATGCTGAACTTAACCCTTGAGAGGACCCAATTAAATGGACAAATTGTCTCCAAAACTTAGAGGTGAATTGAACACCGCGGTCGGATATAATCCTCTTAGGTGCTCCATGGAGACGATAGATATGTTGCAAAAAGAGGTCGGTTAATTGTCGCGCGGATGGTATGCTTTTACATGGCACAAAGTGGGCCTGTTTCGAAAACAGATCTACCACCGTCCAAATTACAGTGTGGCCATGGCTAGGGGGGAGATCGACTATGAAATCCATAGCGATCTCTTCCCAAGGCCTGCTAGGATTCGTGACTGTCTGTAATAGTCCTAACGGTCGTCCAGACCAGGGTTTGGCGGTTGCACAGGTTGTGCAACCTTTTACGTATGTTTCTATGTCCTTACGCATTCGTGGCCACCAGAATTGCCTCCTCACAAGGTGTAGAGTTTTTAAATACCCAAAATGGCCTGCTGATTTGGCATCATGGCACCTGCATAACACTACGTTCCGTAAACGTTCTGGAACATATATTCTATTCTCCCTCCACGCTATTCCATCATTATAGCTAACCATAGAGGGGTTTTGGATTACCCATTGATCCTGTTGTAAAGCTGTTTTAAACTCGGTACGTAAGTGACCATCTACTTCTGTAAGTCTTAATAGGGTTTGGGAAGGTGCAATTAGAGGTTCTATCACTTCCTCTCGCTTGCTATTATACTGTGGCATCCGGGACAGCGCATCAGCCAGGAAGTTTTTCCCAGCAGGAACATACCGCAACCGGAAAGAGAAACGCTGAAAATATTGTGCCCACCTTATCTGTTTGGGAGATAGTCGCCTGGGCGTTTGTAAGGCTTCTAAGTTTTTATGGTCCGTCCATACCTCAAAAGGATGAGACGCCCCCTCCAAGAGATGTCGCCATGTCATCAACGCCCAACGGACTGCGAAGGCCTCTTTTTCCCAGATCGCCCATGCCCCCTCTGTCGTGGTTAACTTTTTAGACGTATAGGCACAAGGTTGTAACCCTCCCTGCTGTGTTCTTTGTAGGAGTACTACTCCTACAGCCACGTCGCTAGCATCTGCCTGGACTACGAATGCCTGCGTTGGGTCTGGATGCTTGAGTACTGGTTCTTGAGCAAAGAGTGTTTTTAACTGCTCAAAAGCCATTTGACACGCTGACGACCACGTCAACGCTTGTCCCGGCTTTGGTTTAGCCGTGGCCGGTTTGGTCCGTAACAGATCCGTTAGTGGTAGGGCTATTTCAGCAAATCTGGGAATGAACTGCCGATAGAAGTTTGCAAAGCCTAGAAAGCTCTGTAATTGCTTTCTGGTTCTAGGGGCCTGCCATTCAAGCACTGCCTGGACTTTTCTGGGATCCATCTCTACCCCGCTCTCTGATATTCTATAGCCTAGATAATCTATCCTCTTTTTGTGAAACTCACATTTGGATAGTTTCACGTACAGCTTAGCAGCTAATAATTTGTCTAAGACCTGTCGGACCAGAGATATATGTTCCTCTTCAGTTTGCGTGTAAATTAAGATGTCATCCAAATATACAAGGACACCCCTGTACAGATGTTCATGCAGCACTTCATTGATGAACTGCATGAACACCGCAGGGGCGCCCTGTAGTCCGAACAGCATGACCTGGAACTGATAGCTTCCCAAGGGACAATTGAATGTTGTTTTCCACTCATCCCCTGGTTTGATTCGTATCCTATAATACGCTTCGCGTAGGTCGAGTTTCGTAAAGATACGACCAGTGGCTAGGGCAGCTAACTGGTCCTTCATTAAGGGAAGTGGATAGAGGGGCTCCACACACACTGCATTGAGATCTCTGAAGTCAACGCATAAGCGTAAACCCCCATCTTTCTTCCCACGAAACAGGACAGGGGCAGCCATCTTTGATTGACTAGGTGTGATAAAACCCCGGGCCAAGTTCTTGTCTATATATTTTCGTAATTCTTTTAGTTCGGGTTGTGTCATTGAATACATCCGGGGCTTGGGTAGCTTCGCCCCAGGTATTAACTCAATACTGCAATCCGTAGGCCGGTGAGGGGGCAGGGTCTCACATTCCTCCTCACTAAAGACTCTAGCGAGATCCCTATACACATTAGGATACGTTGTGTCTGCTGGTGGGCTCTCTGCTTCTATTCCCCCTGCTGGCTCCTTTTCCTCCTTGGTAGGGGGAGGTCCCAACGGTAATCAAAGTTTACGAAAACCCCCTTCCCACCATATCGTAGGAGCCCACTTGTCCAACCATGCTAATCCTAAAATCACTGGTTCTAACATTTTTTCCACTATAATAAACCGAATAGTTTCGGTGTGTTCCCCAATATCGAGGTGCACCTTTTCTGTTATATGAGTCACTGGTGCCCCTCCCAGCAATGAACCATCCATTTGTTCAAAGGTAATAGGGGTTCTCAACCGCACAACCCGCAGCCCAAGTTCGTCAACTATTGCCCTACGAATTAAACAATGAGTACACCCTGAATCAATCAATGCCTCATATCGGCGTCCAGTGGTTGCCCATGGGTTTCGGAGTACGACTGGTGCCACAAAAGGTCGGATGGGGTCGCTCACCATCGGGTCGTGTGGGTCCTCATCGTCGTCATCACTATCCCCAGCCACAATCGGGAATTTTTCCGCCACCACTTTCTTAGTATCTGTAGCCAGGGGATCCCTCTCCATACAGGATGTTCGAGTCATTTGGGACCGTTCGGATGTTGG